TGGGGGTGATCAGGCTGGCGGGGTGGGCAGTTGGGGGTGAGCAGGTTGGCAGTGGGGGTAGTTGGGGATGAACAGGCTGGCTAGGGGGACAGTTGGTGGTGAGTAGGCTGGCAGGCAGAGTGATTAGGGGCAATCAGGCAGGCAGGCAGATGAGAGGTTAGGAGCCAGCGGTCCCAGATTGCGAGAAGAATGTCCAATTGCCAGCAGTCAGACATCCCCCAAGGGGTCCCAGATTGGAGAGGGTGCAGGCCCAGCTGAGGGACAAGGCTCCCCCCCGCTCGCACGAATTTCACGCACCAGGCCACTAGGATATGTATAACTAAAAATAATTACACTAGAAAGCTATGTTTTCTGTTTTTTTCTTTTTTTAAATCTTTTTTGTATTGCTTTCAGAGAGGAAGGGAAAGGGAGTAAGAGATAGAAAAATCAGTGATGATAGAGAATCATTGATCAGCTGCCTCCTGCACACCCCACACTGGGGATCGAACCCACAACCCAGGTATGTGCCATGACCAGGAATCAAACTGTGCCCTCCTGGTTCATAGGTCAACACTCAAACACTGAGCCATGCCATCTGGGTGCTTTGTTTTTCTTTAATGACCAAAGTTATTTTTATAATTTTGTGAAAGTCTTTTGATCTTTACCTGAAGTATTTGCAAGTAGGCTAAGGTGAAGAAAACATTTGGGGCTGGCTAGAAGCAGTGTTACCTGAGTGTTGTTTTTTTCAGGGAGGGAAGTAATTTTTAAGAACTATAAGGTGAGGGAAAAGTAGGTTTACAGTTGTTTGTATAGAAAATCATATAGTAATTAATAGATAATAATCTACTTATATAAAAACCATGGGTGGTGTTCGTCACATACAGACGAAAAGCCACGACCAAGCGGAAGGAAGTCAGTCCTACAGTGGTTGTCTTGGCAACGGCTGCACCCTACCCCAAGCTGTTTCCCAGAGCTGTTTCCTGTAAGGCGGAGTTTGAGGCAGGAATCCGCCCTGGGAGCATGGAGGCAGATCTTTCTAAAGTGTGCCACACCAGCACAGCCAGGGTGAACCTGAGTGGGGGCGGCTGAAAGGCTTAGAAAAGACAGACAAGAGAATGAAAGCCGGGTCTCAGTGGGATGCTGCTTCTCTGAGAGACAGCGACCACGCCCACAGCCATGCCTTTAGTTTATAGCAGATGCCACGAGGCAAAGTAAGGGCATGACCAAGATGTTTACATTCTTCTGGGTTTCAATCCTACTCAACTACATGCACCTGAACTCTATCAAGCCCACATCACTCAGGCACGTGGGGCCACGTGTTCGGACCATAGGTTCAAGCTTACAACTACAGCTGTTGGCTATAATTGTGCTGGGAGGGCCCTGCCCTCCAAGCTGGGACTGGCACGTGGCAATGAGAGGACTGTGCCCTCTCATCAGTCCAAGGCTTGAACCTGTCCAAAACACTGTAGCGGCTCCCCACAATAAAATTTTAATTCTGTTTCTTTGTTACTAATGTTGTGGCCCCACCCCATAACAAAGAAACAAAGGAAAACTTCCCCATCGAATTTCTGAATAGTATTACTCCTTCGGGAATGCCGTGTCATAAATTAAAATTGAAAGTGGGTGCAATCATCATGCTATTGAGAAATCTCAATAGTAAATGGGGTCTTTGAAATGGTACCAGATTTATTATCAAAAGATTATGACCTAACATTTCGAAGCTGAAGTATTAACAGGATCTGCAGAGGGAGAGGCTGTTCTGATTCCAAGAATTAATTTGTCCCCATCTGACACTGGCCTCCCATTTAAATTGATTCGACGACGGTTTCCCGTGATCCAAGCATTTGTGATGACTATTAATAAATCACAAGGACAAACTCTAGACAGAGTAGGCATGTTCCTACCTGAACCCGTTTTTGCACATGGTCAGTTATATGTTGCTTTTTCTCGAGTTTGAAGAGCATGTGATGTTACAGTTAAAGTTCTAAGTACTTCATCACAAGGGAAATTAGTCAAGCACTCTGAAAGTGTTTTCACTCTTAATATGGTGTACAGGGAGATATTAGAATAAGTTTAATCACTTTATCAGTTATTGTTTGCATCACTGTTGTTTTTATATCATGTTTTTGTCGTTTTTATATCATGCCTCTGTTGTTATATCCTTTTGTTACTGTTTATTAATAAATTTATATATGATTTTCATATACATTTTACTAATTTCCTTTCATCTCTCACACTTCTATTATAGAGAGAGGACAAATAGCAATATTAAAATATCTCTAATTAATTCCCTTTTTAAAAAATATATATTTTATTGATTTTTTTACAAAGAGGAAGGGAGAGGGATAGAGAGTTAGAAACACGAATGAGAGAGAAACATCGATCAGCTGCCTCCTGCACACTCCCCACTGGGGATGTGCCCGCAACCAAGGTACATGCCCTTGACCAGAATCGAACCTGGGACCCTTGAGTCTGCAGGCTGATGCTCTATCCACTGAGCCAACCCGGTTATGGCAATTAATTCTCTTTTAATGTGCACAAATTTCATGCACTGGGCTACTAGTATAAGAATAAGCTATGTTTTGCATACTCACAACTGTAAACCTACATTTACCCCACCCTGTATTTTAAAAACACAAATATGCCATCTGAACCAATAGCAGTTTAGCTCAAACTATAGAGCTATGCAAACATCACACAATCCAGTTTAGAACCTTTCCATTACCTCAGAAAGTTCCCTCTTGCCTGCTTGTGGTTAATTGCTATTTATACTCCTAACCCCAGACAACCACTAATCTACTTTCTGTTCTTATAGATTTGCCTTTTCTGGAGAGATTATATGAATGGAATCGTATGATATATGGCCTTTTGTGTCTGGCTTAATGTTTTCAAGGTCCATCTATGTTGTAACATGTTTCAGTACTTTATACCTTCTTACTGCTGTGTAGCATTCCAGTGTATGGACTGGACTACATTTTGTTTATCCATTCATCAGTTGGTTGACATGTGTTTTATTTTTCACATATAGTTTTAGCTCTTACTTTTAGATCAATAATCCACCCTGTTGATTTTTGTGCATAATTAGAGGTAGGGGTTCAACTTCATTTGTATGTAGATATCCAGTTTTCTCCACATCATTTGTTGGAAAAGTCTGCTTTCTTCCATTAAATTGCCTTGGCATCTTTGTCAAAAATAAACTGACAATAAATACAAGGTTTTTATTTCTGAATTTTCTTTCTGTCCCATTGATCTCTCTGTCTATCCTATATTAATACCACACTGTCTCAATTACTGTAGCTTTATTAGTAAATTTGAAAAATGGATAGGGCAACTCCTGCAATTTATTCTTCTTTTTTCAAGATTGTTTGGCTATTCTGGGTCCTTTGCCTTTCCATGTAAATTTTAAAGCTTGTCTCTTTCTACAAAAAAATAGCCATTGGAATTTTCATAGGGATTACATTGAATTTGTAGATCAATTTATGGAGAACTGCCATCTCAACACTATTAAGTCTTTCCATCCATGAACATGGAATATCTCTTTATTTATTTAGTTTGTCTTTAGGGTTTTTTTAAGCAATATCTTGTAGTTTTAAGTATGGAGGTCATACTTCATTTGGTACATTTATTACTAACTGTTTTAATTTTTTGATACTATTGTGGATGGAATTATTTTCTTAATTTCATTTTTATATTGTTCAGTACAATTATGTTTTACTAATGTCAAAATGTGTATGGTATATTTCCCCCTCAAAATTTTAACTATTTACTAGCATTCAACTTATAGTATGATATATAATTTAGTAGGCCTGCAGGAACCAATCACTGAAACCTGTCATTGGACTAGCACTCGAGGTAGTTAATTGCCTACGTGCAGTTTTGCCCTTAAAGAATGAAATTCCTAAAAAAATTTGAAGTATGTTAATACAGAAATAGTCCTGGGAATTCAATTTGAAGACATGACAAAATGTTTACAGTAAAGCTAACTTAATACGGATTTGTGTTTCTTGAAATTTTATTGATTCTTAAAATTTTTATAAAATGTATTGCTTTGCATTTAATATGTTGATTCTTCTGGCCTCAAGTTAATGGTTTGTTATAGTGTTCATTTACATTATTATCACATTGAAAACTGTTATATAGGGAGAAAAATTTTACCCTGCAGTTAGTTATTACTACAAAAATAAGATGTATTTTGCCGGGCTCAATATACATTGTTTTTCTAGCCAACCATTATTTAAATAACTTGTTCATAAAGTGTGATCTTACAGTGCCTATAAGATAGGATGAATTATTATACTTTAGAAACTGAATAACATTTGGGCCTTTCCTATTGGCTGAATAAAATTAAAGTATATTGATTCAAATCTTTAATTTTTCCCTTATAAAGTTTTTCTTAAATCTTTGGCACCAGTTATTGCTTATCAACTAATGAGCACTAATGAATACTAAAACAAATGGCCAAGTTTATTTGTGTACGTTAAAAGAAAAATTCAGATTATCATGCTTACTTCAAAAGCTTATTTTACTACAGGAAGTTGCTGTTTTACATGGTAAAATTAATGGTATTTGTGTTACTCTGCCCTTAAGAAAATTTAAGGACCACCAAGTTAAAGAAATCATTAGAAGTGGAGTAGAAATGTGAATATACTCAATGTATTAATTTGCTTATAGGCCACCAAAGACCTACGAAAATCTATACCCTCAACTTAATGACCACCCGTTGGCACTTTTAGGCTATAATGTGTAAAAAAGCAGTTAACACTTTTCTTCAACAAAACATAAATGTCAAGTCGATTGCTATATGCTGGAAAGCTAGGGAGAGCAAATCAAGAACAGTCTTGTCTACTGTTTTTATAGTTTCCAAACAGATAGACAAATACTTTTCTGTAATTATAATACTTAGAGCTGTAAACACCAATATGTAAAGTTTTATAAATCGTATGTTGAATGGAGAATATAAGTTATGTTCCTGGTATTTTTTTGGTCTCAGATTAATGATGCATGACGTTTCCCCCCTTTAGGCATGCTGCAAAGGAAGGTAGAAGAGGTAGCACAGGTTTTCCAGAATCGTCTTCACAAGGAGCAAGAACACAATGTCAGGATGGCTTTTAATTGAATGACCATATCTTCAGCGTGTTATTTTTGGTTTATACATTATTTACAAATTTTGATGACATTAAATGTAGTAGTAGTTAAAATTGGTATATAATTTTTGGTTGCAATAAAGTATGTATGTGTTTAGGGTGTTTTTTCTATTTAAATATTGTGCCTTTGAGAATTGTACTGTAGTTTGGCTTTTAGTATTAGCAAATCAAAGCTATATTAACCCTTTTGTCTAGGAAGCAGCCTATTAGATTATGACTCTGTTTTGTAATTAGGTAATATATACAGTATCATAGTATAGTGCAGTTTATATAAAATTTTAGTTTGCATAAATTAGATATGTGTGTGCGGCTTCTTGATTTAGGCAAGCCTTTATAAAGTTACAGTACCTAATCTGTTATTCCCACTTCTCCATTATTTTGTGTATCTTAAAAAATATATATCAATATTTTCAAATTATCATTTAGAAGTAGGTTTCCCTTGTAGAAAAACAAAATTTCCTTCCATTTACCAAAAATAAACTCTTGGAGGAAGGAAAAAACTGTATCATAGACAAATACATGCCAAAAAATAAATGCCAGCTAGTCTTTGGGTGCCTGTTGTAAAGTAGTAGTATACAGTATACTGTAAAGTCTCTCTCCTCAAGGGAACTTACTGCCTTAGCTTGAGATATAATTAATACCTATCTGTATAAAAGTAATATAGACAATACAAGGGAGTGTGTTATGAGTCACAGAAAGTGTGTGATAGAAAATCAGAGATGGGAGGAAGAGTTAGGGTGAATTTCGGACTTGAATTAGGTTATTTTTGAAAGACAATTTGTTTATTTTTGATGTACAGTTATGCTGGTGTTTTACCATATGATTCATAATTATTCGTTTTTGTATTTGTTCATTTCTTTTTCAAGAAAAAGCCTTGTTCTTAGCTTGAGAATAATCTGATCTCTTGTGTTTCATGATTGACCTAAGTCACAAATAATGGTGATATTCTAAAATATAAAAGTATAACACCAAAATAAACTACTTGAAAGTTTTTTAGTGGCTACTACTTAGTTTTCTAGAATTACTGAGCTGAATTTCTGTTGTGCTGAATGTACATGACCATCCTGAGGGGTACATATTAAGGGAATAAAATATTTTTCAAATGAGTAGTAGTGATTTTCATCACCTTATGAGTAAACTAAATATCAGAACGTACATAGCCTCCTTTTTTCCTATCCAAACTTCTCAAATTAGTAGTTTTATTAGTTAAGTTTTCATTCCCACTCAAAAATATAGAATATGAAAATAATCTAGAGACCGTTTAATTTTGTGGATGATTTCTGTGGGTAAAGTGCTTTTGAGTATAATCTTGAGTTCTCTTAATTTTTGAGTCCAGTATTATTACATGCTATATACCCTAGAGAAGAGCATTTTAGTATTATTTTTGGAGGTCCAACTCCAGTAAAATAGTCTGTTCATAAATTAAGTTCCACATTCAGTATTGGAGGAAATACTGGATTTTGTCTTGTTGCTTCTTAATTAACTAGACAATTTCATTTGGACATAATATTTTCTCTATAACATGAAAAAGTTGGATCATGTTAAGTTTTTCTCAACTGAAAGAAATGACTTTTCATTTCTTCAAAGTTTTGTGATTCTTTTATGTCTTTTCACTACCAGTAAGTGCTTACTATAAAGTTCCTTAGTAAAATAAAGAAAGAGAAGACTACAGTACTCCTATTGACTTTGTACTGGGAGTTCTGTGTGTGTGTGTTTTTGTGTTTTTTTTTTACAGGACATAGAGGAGGACAGTGGATGGCAAGTGGCATCTAGTTTAATACAGTAACACTGCAAAATTTACTGGAACTGTTTGGAATCTGGAGCCTTGGACTAAGTTATCTTTAAGGTTCCTCCTGACTCTGGTTCAACATGACACTTTTGAACAAATATTAATTAAAAGATGAGAAATAACCTATTTTTGCCAGTAATTTTAAGGCAGCATTTATGTAAGGTGATGAAATCTTGAGCCCCTCTAATCATTGTTAAAGACCAGCTGAAATTATATGAAGAAGAATTTTTTAATTTGTCATGTTTACACTTTCCCAGTGCTTGACTACTTTTTTGTTTTTTGAAAAAGATGCTGTATAACAGCATTTATGCTATCTCATATTAGATGAGTGATCCTATCCTTCTTCAAGAAAAGATTTTTGGTTTTAGCATCTTCTTCCATATCTGTAAATTGCTTCATAATGTATTTATCAGAAGTGTGCTATGAACAAAGTGCTCAAAAAGAACAAATCCTGAAAATATGTCTATTTTAAGGAGGAACTTCTGGCTTAATAAAACTAAACTTGTTTAATTGTCAGAAAGACAAATGAGGCATATTTTTCAGTTTGTCATAAATTCTTCTAGGGGTGAAATGACCTCATACTAATATCTCTGTGCCTGTGAATAACATCTAGAAATCTCAAAGTTTTTTTATATACTGTCTGATATCCTTTTAAAATAGGGAGAGGGATGCCATGGGAAACAGAATAGCTATTATTCCACAGTTAATAAGTTTGGCAGAGCTAGAAATAGCCTGATGTTCCACCTAGTGTAATTTTCTGAATGTTTGTCCCTTGGTACCTACCACTTGGGCTGGCTACAGTCATACGCAGGCACATAGAGTACTTTCTTATGACCTTGCTATCTAGTTGCAATTTCAGCCTATGTGAATATATCTTTTTCACCATTCATTCTCCACCCATCCCACCTAGTGCATTTCTAATGTAGTGTGTATTAGAAGTTGTATACAAGTCTGATGTGGTGGTTAGTATAGTTTTGTTTCACCCTTTGCCACCTTCCCAAGGAATAAACACACTATCAACCTTGGTGTATTTTTCCATTTCCTTATTGATTAATTTGTCAATTAGACATTTTGGTTGAGCGGCAGAATTCAGCCCCAGCACCATATAGGATTTGCTTGGTGTACGCTATGATATAACCCACACTAATACTTCCCATGAGATTTTTGATCTATTAGTAGTTCTCAGGATAGAAAATACAATGTCTTCCAGAAGCTGCTCTTTGGTTTTATCTTCTAACTTGACCATGGCGATACAGCTAGTTTGAATACATTTGAACCTATTGGATAACCTATTGGAATATTTATTCATAGATGGCCATCCTGTCAAGTGATTTTAAAACCATAGTTTTGTATATTACTTTGTAATCACTCTATTCTGAGGTATTATCCCCATTTTCCAGGTGAGCAAACAGGCCTATAGCAGTAAAGAAACTTACTAAAACTCACATAGTCTTGTAATTTGTCAAAGCAAAAGTTAAAATCCAGATTGACTACTATGCTATACTGTCAATAACTGTGGGAACTGAGAAATCCAAACAGTGTGACCCCACCCCAAACCCATTTTTCTTCTTTGGATTTTTGTGATACAAAAATTGCTCCATTTAATTTTTTAAAAATGGTTGGTTAGGTAATATAATCATGTAGTTCAAAATTCAAAGGTTACAAAAATATATAGAGAGAGACTAAAGAATTTTTCCCATTCTTGTCCCTCACCATCCAGTTCTCCATATAGAACTTGGTCACCTTTAAGACTGCTAACAGTTTTCCATTGAATGGATGTATCAAATTCATGTATATTTAAGATTGTTCAGTATTTTGTTATTAAAAGCAATGCTGCTATATATATATATATATATATTATTAAAAGCAATGCTGCCATATATATAATTGAGAATACATAACATTGAGGATACCATTCATACACAATCAATTGCTATGCTAAACAGAATGAGCATTTATAATTTCAATTGCCTTCCACAAAGGTTGTACCAATTTACGTTCCTACTAGCAATGTATTAAGAGTGCCTATTTCCCCATGATCTCAGCAAAACAAGTGCGTTCTCAAACTTGTGGATGTTTACCAATCTGGTAGGTTACTATAGTGTGCACTTTAAAAATAAACTTTATTTTTTTAACAGTTTTAGGTTTACAGAAAAGTTGCACAGTACAGAGTTCCATATACCTCCACTCAGTTTCCCTTAATGTTATCATCTTAACATAACTGGTATATTTGTCACAATTCATGAACCTTATCATTAACTAAAGTGCAAGTTTATTCATATTTCCTTTTTTACCTAGGGCCCTTTTTCTGATCCAGGATACCACATTGCATTTAATCATCACCATGTCTCTTTTGATTCGTTTGGCTGGGACAGTTTCTCAGACTTTTCATGTATTTCATTAACTTGACAGCTTTGAGGATTACAGGTCAGTTGTTTCATAGTCAGTGTACTTTGAAATTTCCATCTTGTAAGTGAGATCAAACATCTTTTTTTTCATATACTTAAGAACACTAGTATTTCCATTTCTGGGAACTAAGAGCCCATGCTCTTAACCAGTATACTGTATCCCTTTCTTGATTCACAATAATTAAAACGTTCACGAGCCTGAATACATATGGATTTCTGATTCTCCAGAAGTACATGTCTTTTAAGCCTCTGTTACAGATAGAGGAGAACCATTAGCGCAAGAGATGTCAAACTTGTGTCTGATCATTGTGGTTACACAGGACGGACCAGAGGCTCCACTGGAAACTGCAGGTAGGCCAGATATTAAGTCCTTGGAAGCAGAAGCGGGCTAGTAAGGACACATTTGAGGGAAATTGGGGGCGCCAGGATTTAGTGATACCGAATGAGAGGGTCAAGAAGTCAAAGATTACTCCTAAGTTTATGAGCTGGATATTTTGGGTGTTGCCTTTAACCTCTAAACAATTTAAGAGAAATATTTGAACAATTTACAACATACCAGTTACTCAATACGTTACGTACTTTCTCTTTCCCTTTCTTTAGCTCTGCGCTACTACAATTCCCAGAGCCCCTCACTCCACCACAATCCCCTCAGAGTTGGCTGCGCAGAATTCTGGGACTTGAAGTCCGAGGCCTGTTTATCCAAGTTAGAGAAAAGGGCCTGTGGAAACATGAAGAGGTAAGGGCTTGTCTGAGCAGGCGGCGAAGGGAACTCTGTTTTACCTTTTAACTTAAAATGGCTTTTATTACTTTGTGTGTGGGGTATGTCACGTTCTCGGGATGCGGTTTCGTGTGAGAGGGAAGACAAAAGAGGGAGCAGAGGAGACGGGCTAGGCAGGCCTCCTGAGCGAAGTTCAGGAAGGGCCGCCGCCGCTGCCGGTTCCCACAGAAATGCCCTTTCAGCCCAGGCATCTAAGCCCGGGCGCGGGTCCCCTGGAGCCGGACACACGCTGTGGCTTCTTCCTATTGCAGATGGACCCACCCAGGTGCAAGAGTCTTGGCCGAGTAATGCCTCGTGCCAGAGAAACCCAGGCCAGCTCCTCCCAATACCTCCACCCTGTCCTCAGAAAGGGGACCTGGGTAGGCGCCTTTATTTGCAGGGTTTGTGTATTAAAGAAAACGCGGGCATGTAACGTTTTCAAATCTTAACGTAAGTGATACTTTGATACTTTGTTTCTACAAATTTAGAAGGCAAAACCGATTCAATGTCATAGGAAAAGAAAGCACTTGGTGCGAGCAGTTCCCCCTACTGGTTCTGCAGGAAATGGCAGCTTTAACTTGGCTGGTCATTGTTGAAAGCCTGAGCTTCCCAATTAGTCCACAAGCCTTTTCTAAGGATTCTCAAATTAGTTTTGTATCCACTCTGCAAGTAGAATAATCGCTCTGGAATAGGCTGTATTTACAATTCTTACTGATACTATGCTGTCCTGCACTGTCAGTTTCTGTATCTTTTAAGAAACTGGTTCTGATTTTCCCTGCTTCAAAATGACTTTAAAAAATGTTTCTAGTCATATGTCTCATACATGCAAAATAATGTATATATAAAGTATAAAGAATAGTAATAGACTCATACCCACTACAAGCTTTAGACCTGGAACATTACTAGTACCTTAGAAGTCCCCAGTGTCCCTCCCAGATTACTTCTCCTCTCTCCCTCCTCAGGGGACCATTATTCAGAATTTTGTGCTTATCATTCCCTTTCTTTAAAAAAAATAGTTTTATGACTTATGATTTTATCCCTAAACAAAATATTGCTTGTTTTATCCATTTTTCAACTTTACATAGATGGACACATATAGTATATATTTTTATGTGACTTGCTTTTTTTACTCAACATTTCTTTTTGAGTATTTAGCTATGGTTTACTCATTTCAAAGCCACTTTAAACTTAGCAAAAACTTTCTGAATTCTAAATAATAAATAAAAATTAGGATACTTAGAAGGGATTTTTAAAACCCTGGGCCTAAGGATATTTTAACAAATGGGACTTATACCTATTTCCCAAAATAGGTATGTCTTTCTTGAGCATGAGAATCTTGCTTATAATTATGAGGGATACTTTTCCTAGGTCCCAATAATAAAGGACTATTTTATAAGGTATTTTAATATTTATTTTCCTCATGGAGTTAGCTCAATTTTTTTTGTTTTTTTTTTGTCTTTTATAATCTGTTGTTGCCTAAAATAATTCTGCTATTTCTTTATACTCTGATGTTTTAAGTTATTTATGGTTAGTTGGCTCATGTTAGCACTACCTAGATTTCTATACAGTAGTGCCTAGGCCAGTGATGGTGAACCTATGACACGCGTGTCAGAGGTGACACGTGAACTCATTTTTTTGGTTGATTTTTCTTTGTTAAATGGCATTTAAATATATAAAATAAATATCAAAAATATAAATCTTTGTTTTACTATGGTTGCAAATATCAAAAAGTTTCTATATGTGACACGGCACCAGAGTTAAGTTAGGGTTTTTCAAAATGCTGACACGCCAAGCTCAAAAGGTTCGCCATCACTGGCCTAGGCTATATAATGTTATGATCCCTTTCACATTTGTTTCTATGCTTTTTCCTTTGGAGATCTCCTTTTCATAGCTCCAGATTCTGACACTACAGATGATTTGATATTTCCATGTTCAGCCTGATACTTACCTGTGCAATATTTCTCCCGTATCTCACTTTCCTTTTAGCCAATATCACTTATACTGTCACCTCAGACTCTATATGTCTTTAAATATTCCTGGTGTTTCCATTGTAACAGGTAGTTGACCCAACATGGCTAAAACAATACTGATGTTCCCTTTTCCCAAAGCGTTTCACCTGGAGCTTCCTCTTTCCTTCATTGGTACCATTGTTCTCTCAGTTTGAAATTTGGAGGTTATCTTTTACTTATCTTTTACCCTATTTTCAAAAGGCCTCTCTCATCTAACTCTTCATTTCTGTCCCCTGTTACCACTTCACTTTGGACTTTGTCCTCTTATCCTTGATAAGTTTTCCAGCTAGTTCTTTTGGTTTCTTTCCTACTAATCCATAAGGCATGTTATAACCACATTCTTTTTCCTAAACCATCACTTGTACCATGCCACTTAACTGCCTAATAAATTACTTTCTAATACCTATACATTAAGATCCAGGCCCCTTAATTGGTGTATTTAAGGCCACACAAGATCTGAGTCTAATTACCCCTCCAAGATTATCCCCCAGTTAGCCCATACTTGAATGTCAGCTAAATTGAACTTCTTGTTAACCCCCAGAACATCTCATACTTGCTGTCCCTCTTCTTCCTTTCATCATACCCAGACCTTTAAATGCCAGTTTAAGAAGTCTTCATTTTACCCTCCTAATTCCCAGTTATTTCTTTCTTCTGTGAACTCCTACTAATTTGGCATATGCTTCTTTGTATTGTCATTCTCCTCTCCCCTCCCTTACTTTCCCCTCCTTGCCAGACACATGTACACAATACATACACACCTATATATTTCCTCTCCCTAAATAAATTGCAAACTCCTTGAGGATAGGGACTATGTTTGAATACCTTTGACTCCATCAGTGCCTTACAATGTTTTGTGTGTAAGTAGGTATTTAATAAATGTTGATGGAATGAATATAAAGTGCAAAGGATTGTTAGAGAAGGGTCTTTGAACAAATGGGGTCACCAAAGGTAGATAATATAGGTAAAGAATCGATTTTGAGGTTTCACTATCTCTTCTGTTCTCTGTATGTGTCCCTATATCTACTCCAGGGTAAACAGCTGTGTGAAGAGTGATGATCATGTCCTGGAAGAGTTAGAAACAGAAGGGGAGAGGCAGCTGAAAAGCCTCCTTCAGCATCAACTTGACACCTCTGTCTCCATTGAGGAGTAAGTAGTGATTTTGCAAACAGGTCAAGTATCATAGACCTTCACCTCCAGGTGACCCCTTTTAAAGCCTGGATGCAACACTCCTCTCCCACCCCCTGTTCCTTGGCAAACTTCTACGTATGAGGCAGGGTTTTGCTTCTATGTCTTTTCCTCTGCAGATCCTCCCATATTCTACTACATATATGCTAAGTATCTTTCCTATATCTTCCCTTAACATACATAGCACTTACAACCCAATATTATCATTGCCTGTTTACTTGCCTCTCCTTCTACTGTTCTTCCACAAAAGCAGAAACCATTTTTATCTTTTAAACTGTTAAATCCTCAATACCCAGCATAGTGTCTGATGTATAGTAAATACTCAATAATCAAATATTTGATTCAGTCATTTATTAGTCCTGGATGAGGGGACTATTGGTGGAGTTCCATATTGTTAACAGTGGCACTTCAGCCTAGAAATAGGATATGAGAGAGAAATTGCCGATGAGTTTCATTGTGCCTCTTTTAATGGTGAGCCCTATTTCTGTGAATTGTAATTTGAAGATGTTCTTACTCTCTTCATTCTTGGTTTGCAGATGTGTGTCTAAGAAAGAGAGTTTTGCTCCTGGTACTATGTATAAGCCCTTTGGAAAGGAAGCAGCCGGAACTATGACTTTGTCCCAGTTTCAAACATTGCATGAGAAGGACCAGGAAACTGCTGCTCTCCGGGAACTAGGGCTCAATGAAACAGAAATCTTGATCTGGAAGAGCCATGTTTCAGGTGAAAAGGTGAGTGGGACAATTTTTTTTCTGGAAAGTGCAGAGCAATATCTCTTCATTTGGCACTGAGAACCTTTTTATTTTTAATTCTCACAAAACTAAGCTTTGTGTCTGAATCTTCTTTGATTCCTAGGACAGGGACCTTGGGAAAAGAGAAACTATCCCTTGACTGATTAGCTACCGTATCTATAAATACTCATTCTGGGCCTTGATCATCATTGCTCTTTAAGTATCAGACCATCCCTTTAAGGGTATGTCCTCTATGATATATGCCCTCTCATTTCTCTGATTTCAGAGGACGAGACTGAGGGCAACCCCTGAAGCAATACAGAACTGCCTTCAAGATATTGAAGAAAGGATCTCAGAGCGTCAGCGCATCCTTTGCCTGCCACAGAGATTTTCTAAAAGCAAACAGCTGACCCGGCGAGAAATGGAAATAGAAAAATCTTTATTTCAGGGTGCTGATCGTCACTCCTTCCTTAAAGCTCTTTACTACCAAGGTATGTGATCACCACTAACTTCGATGTGTTCTTTCACTAAGAGAGAGAGATTTACCATTAGCGCATTAAATATGAAGAGTTAGCGAAGTGGGTAGGGGAAAGACAAACTTTCACTACTCTTGAGGAATGTGTGAGAGACAAATATGTTCAGAGTTAGTTGCAGTTCAATTGCTATTTGTAGACATGTGAAGAAAATGCTGAGGGAGCACAGAACATAGAGCCTCAAGCCTAGTTGGGGGAGTCAGGAGTTGACATTTCTAAGTCCTGATGGGTTAACAGAGATTTGTCAGGTTAACAAGATGCAGAGGACATTACAGATAATAGGTGAATAGGAACAGGATTGTGAAAGGACCTGGGAACAATGAAAAGGTCAGTGTGGCAGGCAGTATAGGACTTGGCAGGGAATTAATTACAGGAGATGACACTAGAAAGATAGGTGAGGCTAGATTGTAAAAGTTTTTAGACTGAACTATAAATTAGCACAAAATCTATAGAGAAATGGTCTGTGTCTTAACCAGAAAGAATGAGTATAACAGATAAGTTTTGCTAGGCACTGTGTAAGGTGCACAGAAGTTTAAGAAATGGTTCCCAACATTAAGCCAATTACAGTCTGGTTTGAGAGAAACAGGACATTTTACTAACAATGCTAGATACAGTTGTTAAGTGCTGTAGGAGTTCAGAGGAGGAAAAGGCTACTGTGCATTGGCATGACTAAAGAAGTCCTCTTGGAGGTAAGGTTTAAATGTTCTTTTAATGCTATACTCTTTAGGGTGGAGAGGGAAAGGCATCACAGCAGATGTTGTGAGCACTATGCTGTGTTCGGGGATGTTGTGAGAGACAAGGTAGCTAAAATTTTTTACCTTTCTGTGGTAGACAGTATAGACCTATACAGAGTTAGTTATTCAGTTAGTTAGTTTGGATATGGTTAAAGGTTTTTGAACCAGGAGTAACATGAGAAAAGCAGTATTTGAAAATGATTAATCTGGTGACCAAGAAATACAGGGTGGAGCAAAAGTAGATTTATATGGAAAATAATACAATACTTAATAAATAATAATACAAGAATAAACTGTTTTACATATTCACAACTGTAGACCTACTTTTGCCCCATCCTATATGATGAGAGAGAGAAAGAGATGGAAGCAGAGGAAATGATTTAAGAGGTAATACAGTCCTTAGCCATGAAGATATGGACTAGAATGATGGCAGTGGAATTAGAAAGAGGTAGATATGATTGTAAGAGACATTACAAAGTAAGAATTGGTAAAACTTGTTGACTGAGGCTGAAGGAGGACAGTCAATAAAGAAGAATGTGTCAAAGGTAATCCAGGTGTTTCAAGGCTGTGTGACTTAATTGTCAAAATTAAGAAAGCTTTTATGGGGAAATTTTGAGGAAAATAATGAGTTTGATTTTGAACATGTTGAATTAGTGAGAATGGCAGGTTCATTAAATGCAGATATTGAGGAGGCAGTTAGAAATGCAACAATGAAGCTCAAGGGAGAGGTCAGAACTAGATCTATAGAATTGGGAATCATCTATGCTTAGATCAGAAGTAAAGCCATGAGAATGAATGAATGATTTGTTAGATACCATAGACATGGAAGAGCAGTGGTGAAGGAAGGAAAAAAACAACAAATGAATAGCCTTTTGTAGAGAGGCATTAATACGAACTGATTAAGGACATGGGTTCTGGAGGCAGATTCCTGGAGGCAGATTCATGGGAAAATTCTGGTGCCCCACTTAATTCTGGTGCTTTAAGATTTTGGGCAAGTTACCACTCTGTGCTTCAGTTCCTTTGTAAAGTGACAATATTAATAGTAGCTATATAGTAGGATTGTTCAGAAGGTTGAGGTAATATATGTGAATCAGAGCAGTGCCTGGTATTTGGGGGTGGGTGGGTAGTATATGAATCTGTTTTTCCTATCTTTGAAACTCCTTACTTTAAACCTTCACAGCATACCACAAAAAGACAAGTGCAGACAAGTACATGACCTCAATGAAGAGGAAGATAAAATTAGGCACAAAAGGCAAGTTGAGAGTTTTCTTACAGTGTTAGATTTAGGAATGTAACCTAGGGTCCCAGACTTCTAAGTTGAGTGCTTATTTAATTCCTTATCCAGTATATGACAATGTTTATAGGAAATTATCCAGAGATAGCATATTATTCTGATATAGAATATTAAAGAGAGGAGCTAGAAGAAGTTGTAAAGTTTTTACATTTAGTGTTGTTGAGTTTTTTTCTCTATACCTTTAAGTTATCGTACCAGACATAAAACAACCTTAATAATTTTTACATCTTATTTCACAAGTAATTCTGAATATTTTTATTATTCAGTAAAGTATAAATATTGATGATGATGATGATGATGATGATGATGATGATATAATAGCTAATATTTTCTTTTATTTTTTAAATGAACTTACAATGATTTTTGGGGGGTTGACAATTCTGTGAATTGTAAAGCATGTAAATCATGTAGATTCATGTAATCACCACCACAGTCAGGATAAAGAACAGCTTCATCACCCTAAAACTTCTTCATACTGTCCATTGGTAGTCACCCCCAACTCCACCCATCATCTCTGGCAATCACTGATCTGTTTTCCATCACTGTAGTTTTGTCTTTTATAGAATGTCATACAAATGGAATCACAAGATATGTAATCTTTTGAGAGTAGCTTCTTTCATTCAGTGTAATGCCTTTGAAATTCATGCAAGTTGTGTGTATCAATAGTTCATTCATTTTGCTGAGTAGTGTTCCATTGTATGGATGTTCCAAAATTTGTTTATTCATTCACCCATTGAAGTGTATTTGAGCTGTTTTCAGGTTATGGTGATTATGAATAATACTGATATGAACATTCTTGTACAGGTTTTTGTGTGAACATAAAATTTTTATTTCTCCAAGGTAAAATATCTAGGAGTGGGATTACTGGGTCATATGGTAAGTGTTTGTTTAACTTTATAAGAACCTGCCAAACCATTTTCCAGAGTGGCTGAATCATTTTGCATTCCCACCAGCAATGTATGAGAGTTCCAGTTGCTCTGCATCTTTGTCAGCATTTGGTATTGTTGGTACTTATTTTAGTTATTCTATTAGCTGTGACGTGGTATCTCATTGTAGTTTTAATTTGCATTTCCTTGGTGGCTAATGATGTTGAACATCTTTTCATATGCTTATTTGCCATCCTTATATCCTGTTTGCTGATGTGTCTGTTCAAATCTTTGGCTGTTTTTAATTCGGTTATTTATTTTCTTCCTGATGACTTGTGAGAGTTCCTTATATATTTTAAACACAATTCTTTGTTGGATATCTGATTTGCAAATATTTTATCCCAATATGTAGTATGTCTTTTCATTCTTTTAACACTATCTTCTGTAGAACAAAATTTTTATTATGGTAAAATATACCTTACTAAAATGGACTGTTTTAACCATTTTTTTAAGTGTTCAGTTCTGTGGCATTAAGTATATTCACATTGTTGTGCAACCATCACCACTGTCCATCTACACAACTTTTTCATCTTCTCAAACTGAAACTGTGTACCCATTAAACACTAACTCCCCTTTCTCCCCTCTCCTCAGCCCCTGGCAACCACTGTTCTTTCTGTCTCTATGAATTGACTACACTAGGTACCTCATGTAAGTGGGATTATACAGTATTTGTCCTTTTTTTCACTTTGCATAATGTCCTCAGGGTTATTCATGTTGTAGCATATGTCAGAATTTCCTTTTTTAAGGCTGAATAATAATTCATTGTATGGATACACCATGTTTTTTTAATCCATTCATCTGTCAATAGACACTTATTTTGCTTCTACCTTCTGACTATTGTGAATAATGCTGCTATGAACCTGGATGTATAAGTATCTGTTGAAGTCACTGCTCTCCATTCTTTTGAGTAAATACCCAGAAGTAGAATTGCTGGATCATATGGTAATTCTATATTTATTTAATCTTTTGAGTAATCACCACTGGTTTCCATAGAGGCTATATCATTTTACCTTCCCACCAGCAGTGTACAAGGATTCCAGTTTCTCTATACCCTCGCCAATACTTTCTTTTATTTATTTTTTTAGACTAGCCATCCTAATGTGTGTGAAGTGGTATTTCCTTATAGTTTTTTAAAAATGTAGTTTTATTGATTTCAGAGAGGAAAGGAGAGGGAGAGAAAGATAGAAACATCAATGATGAGAGAGAATCATTGATTGGCTGTCTCCTGCATACCACCCACCAGGGATCAAGCCCACAACCCAGGCATGTGCCCTGACCAAAAATCGAACTGTGACCTCCTGGTTCATAGATTGATGCTCAACCATTGAGCCACACCAGCTGGGTTCCTTACAGTTTTGTTTTTCATTTCCCTAATGACTAGTGATGTTGGTCATCTTATCATGTGCTTTTTGGACATTTGTATATCTTTGGAGAAATGTCTAAGTCCTTTGCTATTTTTTAAATAGGTTGTTTGTTTATTTGTTGTTGGGTTGTAGGAGTTCTTTATATATTCTGGACATTGATCCTTTATCAGATTTATGATTTGCCTATATTTTCTCCAATTCCTTGGGTTGCCTTCTCTCTCTGTTGATAGTGTCCTCTGATGTACAAAAGTTTTTATTTTTTATGAAGTCCAGTTTCTCAATATTTTCTTTTGTTACTTGTGTTTTTGCTGTCATATCCAGTAAATCACTGCCAAATCTAATATCATAAAGCGTTTCTCCTATATTATCTTCTGAGAGTTTTATATTTTTAGCTCTTACATTTAGGTCTTTAGTTCATTTTGAGTTACTTTTTGTGTATGGTATAAGATAAGAGGTCCAACTTCATTTTTTAAATGTTGGTATTTAGTTTTTTCAGTACTACTTGTTGAAGACTGTCCTTCGCCATTAAATGGACTTAGCACCATCTCTGAGAATCATTTGACCATTAATATGAGAGGTTCTCCATTGGTTTATATTTCTGTCTTTAAAGCAGTGCCATACTGTTTTAATTACTATAGATTTGAAATCATTAATTTTGTTCTTATTAAAAATTGTTTTCACTATTTGTGGCCCCTTGAAATACCATATGAATTTTAGGATAGCTTTTCCTATTTCTACAAAAATTGTCATTGGGATTTTGGTAGAGATTATATTGAACCTATAGATCACTTTGGGTAATATTGACATCTTAACAATATTAGGTGTTCAATCCATGAACATGGGATGCTTTACATTTGTTTGTGTCTTTAATTTCTCTCAGCAACATTCTGTAGTTTTCAGCGTACAACTTTTTTGCCTCAGCAAATGTTTTAAATTTTGAGATAATACAGTTTGTCAAATTTTTTCTCTCATGGATCATGGTTTATTTTTCACATGCCTAAGAACTCTTTCTAATACCAGATTATGAAAAATATTTTTCCTTTGTTTTCTTCTAACAGTTTTATAGTTGTATATTTTACATTTAGATCTATGATTCATTTTGACTTTGTATAAGGTGTGAGGGTTAGGTTGAGCTTTACTTTTTTGCCTATGTATGTCCATTTGTTCTAGCGCTAATTGTTGAAAAGAGTATTCTTTTTCCATTTACTTGCCTTTGCATTTTTACCAGAAATCTGGCTATATGTTAGTATTAATAATGAGCATCATAATTAATGGTGGAAAATTGAAAAAAATTCCCCCAAAATCAGGAATAGGGCAAGAATGTCCACTCTCACCACTTCCATTCACAGTGGAATGAAATTAGAAATCAATAATAGAAGGACATTGCCCTGGCCACTAAGGCTCAGTTAGTTGAAGCATCATCCTGTACACCAAAAGATTGCGGGTTTGATTCCCGGTCAGGGCACATACCTAGGTTGCAGGTTCGATCCCTGGTTGCGATGCATACAGGAGGCAACCAATCAGTGTTTCTCCCTCTCCTTCTCTCTCTCCCTTCCTCTCTCTCTAAAATCAATAATAAAAAATAATAATAGAAGGAAATTAAGAAATCTAAAAATATGCAGCAATTAAATAACACTACTGAATAACCAGTTGATCAATAAAGTCACAAAAGGCATTAGAAAATACTTTGAAATGAGTAAAAACAAACTTAACATATCATAACTTATGAAATGCAGTAAAAGCAGTATTTTAAGGGGATATTTAAAAGGTGAAAATGCCCATATTAGTAAAAAAGAAAGATCTCAAATTACTAACCAAAACTTCTATCTTAAGAAGCTATAAAAATTTGGCCAAACCCATAAAAATGTACAACACCAAGAGTGAACCATAATGCAAATTATAGGCTGGGTAAATTATAATGTGCCAGTGTAGGTTCATTATTTGTAACAAATATACCACTCTAATGGGAGATATTGATAATGGGTGAGGCTATGCATGTGTAGGGACAGGGGACTGTGGGGAATTTCTGTACCTTCCCTTCAATTTTGCTGCTAACCAATAACTTCTCTAAGAAAATAAAGTCTTAATAAAATAAAAAATAAACCACAAAAAGAAGAGCAAACTAAACTCATATCAAACTCAAGAAAAGAAATAATAAAGTTTAGAGGCAAAATAAATGAAATAGAGAATTGAAAAAATAGAGAAAACCAACAAACCAAAAGTTGTGTTTTTTTTTTGGAAAGAGAAACAAAATTCACATTTCTTAAGCTAAACTTACCAAGGAAAAACGAGAGAATACTCAAAATTCTTATACCCTGCTCTCTTTGATTCTTTTTTTCATTGAATAGCTTTGTCCATCATTTTATTTTCAACCTTTTAAAAAATTCTAAATTGTAGACAGCAAATAGTTAGATTATGTTTCTTTTTTGGATTATGTTTCCTAGGTAGGATATTGTTCAGTTGAGTAGAGTGTTTACTTCATTTATATTTAACTAGAGGCCCGTTGCACGAAGAGATTCACGCAATAGGCCTTCCTTCCCCTGGCTGCCAGCACCGGTTTTCCTCCAGCACCCGGGACCCAGGCCTTTGGTCCAGCTGCAGCAGAGAAGCCAAGCCTCTTCAGTCTTCAGTCTCCAGTCTTCAGTCTTCAGTCTTCACTCGGCTGGAG